AAAGTCAGGAGTTAAATGCATCAATTCTAATGAGAATGCACTAGCGAATTAAAGCACGGCCGTTTTACATAATTTCTGAGTAAGCTATTCGTACAAATTGAAATAATTCTTGCATTTAAACTTATATTCCAAATTAAGATTTAACTTGAAATTAATGTAGATAATTAGTGAGAGAATTAGATTTTTGTACTGTAGTTTACGTGAGATGAGATCACTTGGAGTCACGTGATATGAACCGGCGAATCAGGATTTTGAACCATGAAAGCGTAGTAAATTCTTAAATTAATGTCTTTTTACAAATTTATTGGCTTTTTACAAAATTTTCAACAATATTAAAATGTTTATGCCTTCAAAATAAGAAATTTTTAGAACTACCATTTGTTAACATGTTTTATGTGTATACTGTATGTTGACGCCAAGAAAGTCCGCTTGGCGATATTTGCGCCGGCGAAACAGAAAAGTACCAAATTTTGATGCTCAAGTAATGAGCGCAAGAAGAAAGAGCTGTTCCGTCGAGTGCAAGATAGGAATTTTGGAAGACACCGGGGATAAAATCTAACAGATTTCTGCAAACAGAAGAAGCTGGATCTACAAATGGTCCAAAATGGAGATCAGAATGCAACAACCTCAATCAACAGATCGAGGAGGGAAATGCCAAGTAAAAACTTTCGAAAATGATTGCTATGATGAAATTGCAGCGTTTATTGGTCAAGGATCTCAAGCTACCATTGATCACAGAGGTGTCTCTGCAATATTCATACCCTCTACTTGTTACGAAAGTGCACGTATTACATTACATGTATTTTAAGAAAGAACCACCCTCTAATCATATCTAAGGGCAAGAAAGAGGAAATCGAATGTGTTCAAGGTATTTATATTCCTTAGACTGATCGGATTCATGCACTCAAGTAGTAAGATGAAAGTGGGTCGATTTATTCCTCTTGCTTTGTAAGGTAGCCAAAAGTGTACACTAATGAGGAATTCTGCCAGTATTCACCATGAGCAACTTTCTTGCAGAAAGAACTGATCAAATAATGATTCCCGCAGAAATAACTACATATCTCCAAACTCCTTAAACAAGCTATTTAAAGACCAACTGAGCACGAAAATCAATGACTATACTGAAAATAGAATGCAGAGAAATCAAACAGGGAACTTTGTGACGCCTAAGTTGCAAGAAGTCGTTACTTGGGTGAAAAATGCATGGGAATGCCTTACGAGCAGGCTACACAGACAAGAAGAGCTCACTTGAGGAAAGTTTCATTGCTCAACATGAGCGGCTAGGGCCAATGGTTTTAGAGAAAATGAAGTAGCAAAAAATTTAGCCCGGCAATCCGCGGTTTGGAGCTTTAAGATGATGTTCCAGTGAAGACGATACGCATGTATTAGAATAAATGATTTTGTTCATTTTTGAATATTTTTTTAACGTAAATGAATGTATTTCTTAAACCTGAATAAATGTATTTCTTGTACCTGAAGTAATATATGTATTTCTTGAGCATGAACAAATGTAAATTATTTTGCCTGAAAAATAAGACATCCTCTGAAAATGAGGCGTAGCGTGTCTTTTGCAGCAACAATTAATGCAAGACCGGTCTTATATTTGAGGAAACACGGTATTAGATAAATGACAGGAACACTGGGCTACAGAGGATACAGGAAGGAACGTTTCATCACCATCTCGCTTACTAAGTGATGACGGACAACAAATCTGCGCAATTTCAAAAACATGGCAGAGTGTGAAAAGGCATAGGAAGCGTATACCTATGTTTTTGAATGCCCCTTGGATGAAAGGTGGAATCTGAACAATCCAGTGGATGTTAACTAGCCAGCGTAGTCCATCAATACATTATGCAACATAAGAGCAAAAACTGCATATGGAAAATTTTTACCGCAGATTCTTCTTCTTAGACTGAATTGCATTAATTTCAAGACCTCACTCCGTTTAATGTGTATTCACTCTCATTCATAACTAATCTATACCTGTATAATACAATTATTGTTGTTCAATCAGCATACAAGTTTGTTTATTGATTGATTTCTTATATCAAAATTATGACAGTAGATAATTTATTTTTTATTATATTTATTTTTTCTGTTCCTGTATTTTATTTGTAATTGCATAGTATATAGCAACAACTATAATACTTATCGAACTATCGTTAACTTCAGTATCAACAAGATACAGTATTGCTTCTGCTTTTTTTTTTTTTACTGGTATCATCATTATTATCATTTACTTTTACACATTGTACATTTAATCAGTTTTCTGCATATTCCAGTAACGTTACCTGATTCAAGTCCTATTGTTCGCTAATCTTTCTTACTGTACATTTTACACTGACTACCAATAAGTATTTGGACACCTGTGATAGAAAAGAAAAACTAACTTTATTCAAAATCAATAGTTGGTAGAGCCTCCACGAGAGGTAATTACAGCGTGGACCCTCCGGGGCATACTTTCCACAAGTCTTTGTATGACAGCTAGTGGTATTTTCTTCCACTCGGCTTGGAGAAGACATAGAAGTTCCTTCACCGATTTTGCACGGGTAGTGCACCCCTGAATTCGGCGATGCAACTCGTTCCAGAGGTTCTCCATAGGGTTCAGGTCTGGACTCTGGGCAGGCCAGTCCATTCGATGAACTCCATTGGCACCATACCAAGCCTTGGTTAACGTCGAAACATGACAACTGGCATTGTCGTCCTGAAAGTAACAGGGGTCCAACCCGGAAAACTGCCACAACGTAGGAAGCACATTGCCATCCAAAATAATGCAGTAGGCATCGGAGTTGAGCTTACCATGAATGGGGACGAAGGGTCCCAGCCCATACCAGGAGAAACACACCCAGAAAATAATTCCACCTCCGCCGAACTTGACTGTTGGCACAATGCATTCTGGCAGGAGACGTTCTCCAGGTAGACGCCAGACCCAGACCCTGCCATCTGAACGGTAAAGGGTGAACATTGATTCGTCACTTCAAAGAACCCGTTTCCACTGATCTACGGTCCAATTTCGATGTGCTTTGCACCACATTAACCGAGCAGCGTGGTTGGACTTTGTGATCAAAGGCTTATGGGCAGCAGCACGACCATGAAACCAAGCAGATGTGCTTCCTTACGGATGGCATTCATTGAAACAATACTCCCGGATGCCTGTTGAAACTCCTCGCGGATGAGGGCCATCGGTTGGGTGCGGTTCTTCCGAATTTCTCTGGACAGCACTCGTCGGTCTCTATCTCCCAGTTTCGTTGGTTTGCCTACTCGGGGCACATTCCGACAATCACCGCTCACCTTCCACTTCTTAATCACATAGGCCACTGTCAATTTTGGGTACTTCAGATCGCTAGATATGTCCCTTAAGGATCGGCCACATTTGTGATACCGAATGATTATACCTTTCTCGAAATCAGACAGCTGCGAACTGCGAGGCATCTTGCATGCGACTAAAGCCGATGCTGTTTCCTACAGGATTTATACCGGCGGAGTCCGTGACGTACCTTAGGACCGCAGATATCGTCATTTGCATAGGTGTCCAAATACTTATTGGTATTCAGTGTATTTTATTTTGCCTGCATTGTACTATCACTGGTAGTTGTTAAATTGTTTTGTACCTTAGGACAGTATTATGTCTTGATATGGTCACTATACTTTTTAATGTACATTTTATTTTATTTTGCCTGCATTGTACTATCACTGGTAGTTGTTAAATTGTTTTGTACCTTAGGACAGTATTATGTCTTGATATGGTCACTATACTTTTTAATGTACATTTTATTTTATTTTGCCTGCATTATACATTCATTGTTAGTTGTTGTTCTGAACTTTAGGACAGTATTTGTCTTGACATGTTCACATGTATTTACTGTGCGATAGTAGTTGTCGGCCACATACTTTGGTACCTTTTATACTTGCCCGAGCTGTCATTTGGCCCTTGGGCGAGGTTTTGTATTTAGAAGAATCTACTGTTGGTTGGCTATATTGGCTGTACGCTCAGACGCTGCTAATTGGGGAGGAGTTCTGCCCTTTCTTACATGCGTAATTCTGCAACTACCTGTGGCAACTTTCTCGGTGATGAGATGGCTAAATGAACGCTGGATTTGGGCCATTCCCTATGAAAGCATTAAGATGCAGGTGTCCGGCCATTTGAAACAACAATATACGAATAACTAAAGGGAATTAAATAAATGGCAGAACTTTGGTTTCTCTATGAGGTCTTGTTCAGATTTATGGTAGGTAATAAACTGAATGTAAGCTCAAGGTAAAGAATAGAATGAATGATATGGAATTTAAATAATATTTATGGTAATTAGAAAGTATTTCACTTGAAAAATTTTAAAGACAAAAGCTCGATTCAATTTAAATCTATGCTTAAGAACAGTAGTTATGGAAGTAATATCTGTAACCTCCTAACTGTGAAGCCTATAGCCTGCTTTCACAACTAATCAATGTATAGATCTTTTTCTATTCTTTTCCTTAGAGAAAGCACAGTCTGAAAACGGGGGGCGAGGGGACTGCTGCTTCAGTTTGACGTAGATTTTTACAATTTTGTCAATTGATTTGTCGTAAACCATGACTTAATTTGTCCTTCACAATTTTGTCAAGGACGATCATACCCAAGTCCCTCTTCTCCAAAAGGGGGAAAAATCGATTTTTTATTCAAAAAGAATTCAATTTTCATTCAAAATTACAAGTTTTATTCAAAAAAACTACGCCAAATTAAGGTTTTGGTTTTTGCTTTATTTAAAAGTCTACATTGATATATTTCCCTACCAATCTGGCAGTCTAATACCTTGGAAAACTCCACGTCTTTTTATGTTTCAGTCAGTGTCATGCGTGTTTGGTTGCTGAAATGTTAGTGTATTATGCTTTTCGTAAAATACATTTTACAGTACTAAAAGTTTAGTTTGATGAATAGCATAATGCTGGTGAATTAAACATACGGAATATTTTTTTATCATTGTTTATCATTGTTCATGAAAGTTTGATAAAAGAAAGGAGTATCTTTATAACATGCGATATTTTATTAAACGGTTGTTACATCTGTTGGAGGGAATACATTCTGTTCCATTCACAGAAGTATTTAAGTGTCATAATAGTGCAAAGCTCTTTTTACGCTTCTGAATTATGTGAAAGCATACATTATTAATGAAACATTTATTAAATGTATTCTACCACAGTTACAGATGGACAAAAAATTATTTCTTTCGATATAATATGATAATTTATTCTTTAATGGCAATGCATAAAAGGTTCACAACACCACTTTGTCACGATATTGAGAGGGGAACTGAACTAACTTCTTGACGTTAAACTTCTGTGTCATTCTAAATTTTGGCCGGTTCACTTTCAGGATTTTCCGTCTGCACTTCTGAATGCTCTTCATCTTTTGTACTTGTTTCAAAATTTGCGAACAAGGCTGTCAGATAATACAATAATTTTTCCATCTCTCAGTTGTCTCTTCATGTCATCACTCAGCTCTGCATCAATTTTATGACTTGAATTAGATTTATATGGAATGGATGTCATCAAGTGCGATTGAAGGAATGTGGCATTCTTATGATCCCATAGTTTCAAATAAGGATAAGGAGCATAACTGCCCCTAGCAATATACTCTGAGTAATGTGGAAGTGGGGTTAGAACATTACTTTGTTTTTGTTGTCGCTGAGGTTTCAGAGTTCCCTTAGGGACCTCTACATAGGGATATGAGATAAAATGCGGATAATTGGGTCCCAGATTGTTAGGGGGTTGCATTACATGACTTCTTATTGCATAAGTGGGTTGATCTTGCTTCTGGAGATACGCGATTGAGTCTTGAATAGCGTCATGATGCTCATGGGCAGCATTACCTGGTATGTTCTGGGGCTCACGAATTTCTTGAACTTTGGAATCAGCCGTTGGTCCATTCAAAAGCATATGCTGGTAAGTGTTATTTATGTATGTTACTTTTGGCTGCGGAGGTTTAGAATAAATTTGAATTTCTTCTGAGTTTGACATGTCTGGTTTAATTCCAACAATGACTTTTTCGTCTTGTTTTAAATCATTTACCCCTTGTATAGCTTTATTAGCTTGGTTAGGTTCCGCAGCTTCAAAGTTATTTATATCTCTTCTGTTCGACTCTTGAGTATTCAGACTTGGATTTATAATACCTGAAAAAGCAAAATATCAATATGAAGTAGCTATTAAACAGTGTTTTAGAAATAAACTAATAAGAAATTGCAAATGAGTTTATTTTTCATATTTCATCACGTGAGTGGTTTTCATTTTTCTTATAAACACGAATTCTTAATTATTATAAGTGCAAATGAAGATGAACAGCAAAAGAAAAATTAAAACAGTTACAAAAATACACATGCGGGAAATTTTGGACGTGTATATAATTAATTCTAAAAAGTACTTCTACGACACCTTATTGTAGTTTATAAAAGTAATTAATAATTAAAATTATCTGTAAGGATAATTAATACTTATAAAATCTAGGAAACTTCACAAATTATTTGTGATTTATTAAGACTGTAAATATAGATGCTTTATTTCATATGAAATAAAATTTAGTAGTATTGCCCAAAACATTTTTAACAGAACCCAAATCATAAGTATTTGTCCTTTATGGAAAACAGTGAAATAGTTTTTTTATAATACTACAGCAGAGTCCTGGAAACTCGACTGTCAATATCTCAACATTCCGTATAACTCGAAAATTTTTAGGAACTTTTTTAAGATATCTCTAGGCCGAACATAGAATATGTTACATACCGTTACATATAATTATTATTTATGCGTATGTCTTTCCTGTTGTGTTCAAAGATTTGAACACAACAGGAAAGGAAGTTTTCTGTAAATTCTTTTTTGTCGTTTTCGCACTGTACCATCTATTCTTGGAACTTCTTGGGTTCTTGAAATTTCAAGATAGTTTGTAACACGTTGCAACGCTGTTTGCTTCTATCTAGGATACGAAGAAAGTCAGGTAGCAGCTGATCCCTGGCTCACATTCTTTTCTATTGTTGTGAAACGTTAGGACATTTGCCTGAAGTTCTGTGACTGCAGCTTACTGAAACTGAACTCACATCAGTTCATTGCGGGTATCGTTCCTTAGTTCACATCCAGGCGTATAAGTGTTAACTTATTTTTGAGAAGTTTTAATATTCTATGAAGTGAAAATGTCGTTCGAAAAGAAAACTCACTAACGTGATAATGTAAATGAAACTAGATGCCTTAAAGAGATTGGCTAAAGGGGAAAGTGTAAACAAAATTACCATGGATTTAGGTGTTGGACGGACTACTTTGATAGAGTGGAAAAAGAAGAGGTTCGAAATCGAATCTTGGTGTGTAAAAAGAGCATGTACAGTTATTTTAAAGGAAAGAAAAGTATAAAAAGGTGGTGAATATGAAAAGTGAGCGAGGCGATTTATTTGTGGTTCAGGCAGCAAGGGGAACAAAGAACGCCTATTTCAGGGAAAATTTTTAAAAGAGAAAGCCCTAAAATTTGCCAATGCTACCTTCAAAAACGCTGGCATCATGGTAAGAAAAATCGGCACTTGGCTACAAAAGAATCAAGGAGAGAGCCCCAATCTTTTCATGCTGCAATGCACAGGCAGCCGAAAGCTCAAACTAGCGCTTATAGGCAAATCAAAAAATCCCCTAGCATTTAAAAACGTAAAAATGTACACTAATGGAACCGAAACCAACTATGATCTTCCTGTTTGGTACTGGAATAGGTCAAACGCATGGAAGATAGGAGCAATATTTAAGGATTGGTTTCATCAGCAGTTCGTTCGATCGGCGGAAAATTTTTTTAAATTAAAAAAAAAAAAAAATCTACCAAAGAAGGAGATTCTCATTCTCGTTCGTTCCTGGAGAAAGTTGCTGGACCATTCGGAAAACGAATTTCACAGAAGCAGAGAAAAGACGAAACTTGTGAAATAGTTGACTTGAGAAAATTCCAGGCTGCAAAGAAGTTACTGATCGTGATGCTGAAGAATGGATGGGATAAGATGAAAATTAGGACATGCAGAAATAGTTGCAGTGTTGAAAGACAATGTGGATAAAATGAAGATGAATCAGAAAACGAAGAGATTGAAGACAACAGAAATGCTAAAATGATAACCCACAGTGAAGGACTGAAGGCCGCTGAAGGAATGCTTCTTTACATGGAGGAGCAAGGTGCATCTGGTATGGATATTTTGCTCCTCCTTCACCTACGGGATGAAGCTGCACGACGACTGAATGAATGTGAGAAGACAATCTACCATCACACGATATTTTTATACCAAGAACTGCTAATAATGTTTATTCATTTTTGTATGTACGTTTTTTTACTCAATTATATTAGGGTAGTTGTTCTTTTTATGATCCTATTGTGCTAGAACTTGACACAGAAAAATCAGCATTAATTTAATTGTATGCTGTACTTTTCTGTGTCCAATATTATGCTACAAATTTCTAGAGTAATTTGCAGTTAAATACTAAGTGTTCTGAATCCACCCTTTATTCCGGAAAACTAGACAGTCTCCCAGTCTACATTATGTCGAGTTTGCCGGACTCTGTATTATTGTATTATTTTTTACATAATTGGCATCGCAGCTAAACCTAAGAGGAATTTTCTTCAATTTAAGTAAAATATAATTATATTTTATAGTATTATTTTAAAAGTAATCACTATACAATTGTAGAAATATTTTTTTTTGTTTGATATTAATCACACAGCCAGTTTGCAGCATATTTTGCAGCATCTGAAAAGTCTCATGTTCGATTACTGGTGAGGGAACGGTCGATTTTTCAGATTCTTCCTACATAACTTAATCATTCTTCTAAGGATGATGCTTACCAGTATTAATAATGTTTTCATTAAGAATATTAAGTGTGTATCAGTTAAATGAAAACTATTTCTGAGACCTTGAATAACGTTTTCCAAACTTTTGAATGTAAGTGTAATGATAGTATATTCATAGTTCATGAAGTTGTTCTAAATTACTGAAAGAGCCGAATTCGTGAAAGACCTGTTTATCTGCAAGACCTTAAATACAAAGCCAATTTTTTCTTATTAATATTAATAGTGTCATAGAATATTTTGTACAGTTAAAATTTTATTAATTTAATCAGGATATGCTTTAATATTTTAGCTGTTGTAATCGATTTTAATGAATACACATAAACGTCGGAATGTTAATTTTTTTAATACCTTCCATTGTAAATATTATATTAAGGATACCGACAGCTGTAATATTAGAAGCATCAGTAAAACTGAAACATTTTAATATAAAAGGATGCTTTTATAAGAATTTACACTTAGTTCTAAATTTTCATGGGAGATTGCTGAGTTTTTTAGTTTAAATATTAAATCAGCATGTACATTTAGTCCTTGAAAATCAGTGGTTGTGTCAGTCCATAGTTTGCAATAACATGTGCGTTAGGTATACGCATTAGGATTGGATTATTAAATTATGGCAAAGCACACGAGGGCTATCTGCCTAAAGGGAGGGATGCCTTTGTGGAGGACTTTCTAAGGGAAACTGGATCGTATACACGTTACACATGGGGAAAACCACGAAAACGTCCATGCAGCCAGCCCGTTCGCGGGTTTCGAACCTCGGACCGAACTACCCGTGTTCAGCGGCTTTACCGCTCGGCCGCTTTTGAGCAGGTATACGCATTAGAATTACACTAGTTTATTTCCTATGATAGATTTTTTGAATAAATACACTTCAAAATCTTTTTGAGCTACATAATTTTAAAATAAAAACTCTGCGCATAAATTATGTAACTTACAAGATTAAAAATAACTTCAAATTTATTTTTTGAATATTTAAAATGTATACAGATAGTACTTTTTTATTATTTAAGATTATAAAATGAACAAAAATGTATTATGAAAAATTATTAGTTTCACAGCTAGTACTGCAGTGAACTCAGTAGCACAAATCTCTATATTTTTCTTTTTGACATTTATATTATAGTATACAAAATGTGTTAATTTGCAGTTTATACTATCAATACGATAATAGTCAGTCTAAAAATCAAATTTTAAGATGTTAAAATTATATATTAATTTTGGACTGCGCAGAACATTGGCATCGTTATCCTTACATGATTTAATTAAGGACCAACTGCATTTGCCCTCTCCGGAAATTTGCCTATTACGATTTTCAGAAACAAACTATTTATATTTACTGTTCTGCTTGTTAAGCTGATAAAATTATGACTTAAATATTTATAGTAACTTTCTTTTCAGTGTAGAAGAGCAATATATGTAAACATGATTTTATGTATTCATTTTTACATTTTTTACAAATGAATTAATTATCAGATCAAGGAAAGAATTCATAAATAAATATTAACAATCAAACATGGTAAAGCAGCGAACAAAAGAGTATCATGAAGATAACAATAACATATAAGAGTTACCAAAATTATACTAACCAAATGAATGAACAGTTAATTAATGGATGAAATTATAATTAAAGATGATATGCAAATGTCATAACTAATTAAAAATAAACAAAGTTTTCGAATTTTCACCACATCTACCACAAGCTTGTTTGTTTACATTAGCAGTTCTTACATCACGTGACCCCTAAGTCACCGGAATGTATCTCATTAGAGGAATGAAGGCTTGTAGGAAAATTAAAAATTTTCTAATTTTCTATGTAGGGATTTATATTTACTTTAACTTGTTAGTTAAAATAAATATAAATCCCTACAAACCTCATATTAAATAATTTAGTATTTAGTAAATTAAATAACTGGACACAATGCATCTAAAACACAGCTTGAACTGAACTGTATATAAAATAAAAAATATAATCATACTTGCGTAATGCGGATTGTCAAGATGCAAAGTTTTCGTTATTTCAGCTTGGGATTTTCCCTTACTCTGAAGTTGTGCCACCTAAAGGAATAATCATACATCCATGTTAACAATTTTTCAAGCTATTTTGTATGTTACGGGAAACTGAAATTCATTACAACAAAACTAAAAGATAATAAAAGGTAATTATTAAAATCAAACAAAAATTTTGTTACAGGAGAAAAACACTTGGATTTTGTACATACGCATTTATAAAGGCATATTAAGTGAATCATTCTAAAATATAATTGCGATTGCCAACTATATACAAAATTTAAAAAAAAAAAAAAAAAAAAAAAAAAAAAAACAAAAAAAAAAAAAACAGAAAATTGCATCATCTTTATTCTCGATGCTATGATTATTTAATAAAATGTATAATCAGGCATTATTATTTAAAATGTCATTTAAGGGTATGGAATCAAAAGTTATTTTTCTAAAAGAGCGCAACAAAGTCCAGGAGTCTTCGAGGAGTTAGTTGGTGAGCCGCAGTTCTTCGACCTAGGGCATTCCAGACGTTTTCAGTATGGCTGAGGTGAAGCCAGTATGGTGGTTAATGTATTTGAGCAATATCCTCAACCTGAAAGTGTTCACTCACTCCTAGTTAGTAGTTCTATAAGTTCATGCATTTTCAGCCGTGAACAAAAAAAAATCTGAGCTCAAAAGCGCCCATAAACAACCTTATTTGGGGACGCAAATCCATGATGCTTATTTCCTACCAAGTAAGCCTGAAACGTGGAAATAGTCTTTCATGAACATGCCACTGAAGATTGCGTATTTGAGGCTCTTTTCAGGAGAAAGTACATTTAGAATCATAGCTTAAACTTGAATCACTTGATCGTCTAAAATCACTGAACTTGTACTGATCCGTAAACAGTACTCACGCGCAATCATCTTAGCTGCTCTGATCACTGGAGGTGTTTTTGCTGTGGTTTGTTTCACTTGCCTGACAGTAACTTCAGAACAAGCCAACGAAACTCATCGTACAAGATCATTGAGCACCATACAGCACGACTTCACTCAGTTTCGATCCCAATTTTGATGGATAGCACCCCAAAGGGATGGGGTCGAGTGTCTCCCATCCCCTCTTCCCCTACCACCAACCTCTCGAGAAGATTTTCAGCTCGCTGCATATTTAGAGTTCCCCCATGCCGCACGGACACTACATTTACAAACATCCATGCCTTCTCTGGGGCTCAAATAAGGGGCCCTTCGGTACCGCAGTAGGCTCCCTTAACCATTGTGCCGTCTGGGCGGCTGCTCATTGGAGTAGCAGTTGCTACTGAGATGTCCCAAGTGATTGCGTAATGGTCTAGCGATGGCGCAATGATTTTTTCCTGCCCAAAACGACAGATAATGATCTTCAGATGCTGCAGTTACCCTCAGACGCCTTTGGCCAGCGAGATACTATTTTTTTTCAGGCTGTTCTAGATTCTTAAGAGAATGGTTTGAAGGATATTCAGCTCTTTGTGGTTATTCAACTCGGTTCGATTCATCTAGAGCAGCAGTTCTCAATCTTTTGACTAACGCGTACCATCTAAACGAAAATTGGAAACCTTTAGTACCACCACTACAAAGTAGTACTACTACCACCACCACTCTTGAACAAAGCTCAGAACGCATAAATTTACGAGTGCTAGAGAAGGAACTCAATCAGGATGTTGGAATTTTAATTTTTGAATTTAATACCTAAAAATAATTTGCTTCTTTGCGTACCACCTATTTTTCTCTTGCGTACCACCGGTTGAGGACCCCTGGTCTAGAGTCTAGCGACCATTCGGCACTTCTGGCTTTCAACCAAATCATATCTGACAGACATGGTTAACCATCTGACTATTTTCAGATCTATAGCTTTACGTTTACCTGAGCTATACTCGATGCTGAGCCTTTTGCTTTTATGATTTGCTGACATTCGCATTATTTCCATACATTGTGGCCATACCAGCGCAAAAGTAGGTCTTCGAGTTCTTATGTTATTGCTATAATAATTACATTCAGTGCAATTTTAACCGTATTTGTAGATTTAGCATAACGTTTAAAAGAAAATTAAACGCGAATGCACAATTGAATAATTAGTTCCTGGTGCATTTTTACGTATATGAATCAAAATATATGGTTTTATTAATTTCTTTCTTCTTCCATTCTTTATTAATTTTTTTTAATTTTCCATCATTCGAAATAATTCAACTGATAATGTTTAATATATTAATGTTTTGCTTGAGATTATTTAATTCGGTTTTATACATCTTATTATACATGCATTTGTAAGAAATTGTCTCCTTCCTTACCGGGTTTCTTCGTGGTGTAATTGCAAATGCATCCGGCTAGAGTTGGAATTTCAGGAGCCTGGCGAGGGCACTGCTGATTTTTGACATTTCGTGTTTCGAAATAAACCTAGTGACTCTTCACATTTTCTGACTAAGGTTAAACACACTTCGACGTAATATAAGAAGTTAAGCTCTGTGGACTCAATTCACAAAAAAGTAGCGAGTGCCTAGTTATTTATTACAAAGTATACTAATAAAATTAAAGAAAATATATTCAGGTACATTTTTAATTCTTAAGTGATTACTTCACAACAAGTATATCTATTAAAACGTTTTGTATGTTAATACAAACAAAATAAAGAACCACAATAAATTTCAATATAAACTTCGCACCGATATTCCTCCCTTTAATAAAGTGCACAGAGTCTCATTCGTTTTAGTAACATAAACTATGAGAACTCTACCCAAGACTTAGGCAACTTATCACTATGTCTTTGGAACTATAACCGAAACTTCGAAAGGGTGTAAAATACCCTTCTATTTAACTCAGATAAAAGTTTAACAGTAGGCACTGGTCGTGCTTATAGAAACAGCCTTAATTTTTCGCTTAACTCAAAATATAAGAGAATTTAAATTAGACTAAATTAATCGTAAGCTAGCCAGAAGGCTACACAGACACAAAACGCGCAAGTTGGCTTAGACCTAATATCGGAGTGTTAAGCTTAATGGTCACAATAACGCAATGCCGCAGATAAGCTCTCAAGAGAATCAAGTAGCAAACGTGGCCTTCAGCAGGCGGAACATGCTCTTATTCTACTCTCTAAAACCTTCCTTAAAATCCTATCACTTTTCTATTACAAACGTTATTTGAATCACTAGAAATCTGCATTCTGGCAGGCAAATAGAAAGCGAGAAAGACAGTAAAGGTAATTAGCATAAAATAACTGGTTAGAAAAACTAAATGTATACTCTACAAGTGTAACAGTGCACTAAAGAGTAATAATTGCCATACTTGTATAGTTCGTAGCTTCTGGAGAGAAGCTGGAGGGACAGAGATACTAGTTTTTCAAAGAGTGTCGCAAAGTTTTTTTTTTGTGGAACTAAGGTCCAGAAAATACGCAAATCATCCACCTTGCTGAAGAAGGTAATCATCCATCAAACGAAAATATAAACACACAGTTGCTGCGTAGAGTTTCTTGATGATCTCATCCTAACACCTTTGGGCCGGCATAATAATATGTCTGTGAACACGTACATTAAGGTGCAATATGCCAAAGAATATACTAATAAAATAATGCAGGACAAATTACCAGTGTATCATGACTTTAGTAAATCTTTGTGCTCGGAATTTTAATTTTGAGTATAGGGTTAAGTTCTTTCACTGTGTAAACTGTTGTGTACTTTTTTATGCACTGTAAAATGCTAACAAAGAATGTCTTGCTGCTTGTAGTTATCACATTTAATGCGCTGTATTTGTGTAGTCTTATGCAACGATGTTAAATGTTACATTATGTTGAATACATACACCCATTATATTTTTTTTGACTGGTCCGATGACATTGGAAAATGTGTAAGTAGTATAGTAATATGTTGCTATGCATATATACGCATAGCATTCACGTCTAAATCTCTAAAAATACTTCACATGCTTAATAGAATGATGGCGCAAGGGTTATACTTAGTTTCTAAATTGGGCGAGAAAGATGAGAAATGGAATCCACAGATATGTTGTGATTTGAGTGCTACTAGTTAAGGCACTTACTTAAGGGTTCACGATCATCTTTACCATACGGGTAATGTACACATTGCTGATTATTACTGCATATCGTACCAATTTGTGAAATCTGTTCACTCCATCAACTATACAAATCTATCATTAGCTTTGCGCCTATACAATCGAAACAGTCTTATTTCCTATCCCTAAAGCAATGAGGTCGTTCAGTCAAGATGATGACATCCTTCAGCGAACGAATGAGCCACTATATTGCTCGCAGTATCATTGCCTAACTATTAAAAAGAAGTTAAATAATAAGGTAATAGATTTCGCAAAAAAGCACATAAAGTTGTTAGGTTTTTAAGCTTTCAACAAAACGACACATTGTACATAAAAATGAAAGGATTTTACGAAACGTTTTCATGAGTTGTGTTGCGCAGATTTTGTCAATTCATTAAACTTTTAGAGATGTAACAACAAAGCGAAGATTCGTTAAAAAGGACATCGCTTTTTTTGTAAATGGCAATACTTATCTTTTTATAATTTTAGTTCATCTTGTGAAGGCGACGAGCGGCGAAGTCGCTGAACACTGGCAGTTCGACCCGGGTTCGAGAGCTAACGAAAGGGCTGGCTGAATCGGCTTTTTAAAATTCGAATCGTAGTTTTCACCATGTGTAACACAGATAGAGCCTCCACGAAGGCATCGCTTCCCTTAGATACATAGCCCTTGTGTGCTTTGATGTAATCAAATAAGCCAAACGAAACCAAACCGTCCTATGTACATGACAGAATGTTATGAAAATATACTTCGAGAGCTAAAATGTGATTACCTATAGCAAATATAAAGTGATAGTTATCGGCAAACTTTCTGAAAGTAAAATATTTTTTGCAATAAATTTGTAACACATATGATGGCTTTTGATTTGGAAATCCAATAATTATGATAAAACTAGGTGCAGTAAAATTTCGATTATTCGAATTTTGAAAAGCGAAATATTTGAGAAGTCGAATATAGAGTTACAGAAATCGAAATCAATGTAAAAGTTTTCCATCATGCTGAATTTTGGAGCACTCGAAAATTTTTTCATCTTCATTCAGTTTCAATTTATCGAAGTTCGACTATATTAACTTCGTAAAAATTAAGCTTAAAAAATAAAAAAAAAAAAAAAAAAAAAGATCACACCAAATTTATTGGATTTGGATATATTAGATTACGGCCAAGCTTACTGGTTATATTCTTAAGCAAAGATTTGAATTCGTGGAGGATTTTCTAAGCTAATTTATTTCATATTCACGTTATACAGGAAGAAAACCATGAATGTACTGGACTGGATTATTTTAGATTACTTCTTGAATCAGTTTTCGTGCTCTTCCAAGCGCAGCAAGTATGCATTAAATTTTTTCATGACTGAAAAGTATATGCATATTGAAATTTAATTCACTTTGGCATTCATGTAATTCAGCATATAAAGGATTAAATGTAAATCCCTTTAGATCTTAGATTATAACTTTTTTATTTGCATGTAGATCACGATAAAAAAATAATTTTTAAAATTGTAAAAAATTAACTATTTAATAGGCCATTCTTATCTATTAATTACGAAGAGTTAACTGATAAGATCAGGTGGTCATAGTAGAAAAGTCTTAAAAAGTAAAAATACTATCATTTTCAGACTTGCAAATGAAAAGAGTACGGTAGCTTACCTCATGCTGAAGCATTGTGCTTAGTATTCCCTTTTCCAACTTCTGAAACAAAAGAAAAAATAGTTTAACTATTAGGCATTAAAATTTTGAAATGAATATTTTGAATTTCTGAATTCTGCACAGAACAGAATAGAATAGATTTTTTTTTTTCATTTTTTCGTTTTTTTTTAACTTGATGTCACGGAAGCTGTATAAATATTTTATGTTAAAATGACAAATAACTAGAAATATAACTTACATCTTCGCTTATCCTTGATTTGAAACCTTCTTTCTCCGTTTCCTAAAACAGGGAAATAGTAGAAAAAGTATCTCTTAAGTTACACTGAAGTACAAGAATTAATTTGTTACTTGTTTTACAGAAGTAATTATACATCAAAGTATAGAAACATTATTTTAAGTTACCAAATTCGATGTTTAACCAAGTGAATAAGGAAGTGAAATATACAGGGTGATTCAAAACTAGAGGAACAACTTCTAGGAGGGGTAGGGTACACCTAGACGACCTGGAATCCTATAGCATTACAGGGTCGGAAGTGCAATCTAACCAGATAGGGGGAATTAAACCAGAAAGCCCCGTCTTCTTGCTTAATACTGCATAAATTCACATACTTCTCCAATTGATCTCTACAGCCCTAAGTTAAAACGTTCAGTAACAACTGAGAAAGGCGCCTAATTAGCCAAGTAATAGCGAGTCAGCTATCTTTGTTATTTGCATAAGTCAGCAAGCCACGTCTTCTTTCTTGCATAAACCCAGTAGTAATTTGTAGGGAACGATGTACCTTAGAAAATGAGATGAAGAAAGATCAGAGTTACCCAAATTAAATCTGGCTTAAATGAACCTGAACTTAAAAGTAGTAGCTTACATATTTCACAAAACATTGCTGAGTAATTGATATTTTAATTCTATGACATAAAAGTTGCATGGTAACTTGGAAATGTGATTAAATGAAGCTTTCGACTAAACTTCCCATTTAGTTTGCATCCCTTTATTCTTGGCAATATTATTATCAACAAATTTTAATATTTGCTATGTGTTACACGAATTTTTGCATTAAATAAATTAAATCTCATATTCAACTAAAAACTCTAAAACTTTTGAACGCATTTTTCCCATGAAAGCACTGTATTATTATATTTCTCAATTTAGCCACAGTTCTTATTATGTCATTTACTGAATACGATTTTCTAATTGTTAAATGCATGTTAACATCAATACTGAAATTAAAAGATTTTTTTTCCGTTTCTTCCAAGATTGAACTAATTAAGGCCAATATTCCTTCTAATTATTATCATAACTGTGCGATATTGGAAGTTGCACAGAAGAAAAAATATTGTTAAACTGAAAAAATATTGAGTGCTATATTGTTAAACTGATAAGTTACTGAACAACTTCCATTCAGTGACGTAATAATAAAATATACTGCGCATTCATAATGCGCTTTCTCTCTATTTCTAGGAAATTAAAGATCTATGAAAGTACAAGATCTTAGTGTTTAAGTAATGATAAAGTAACAGAAAAATATTGTGCTGAAATACATAGCGTCATGTAGAGTTTCATTGTATGAGGAACAAATAAAAATTTTGCTTTTCCATGAGAGCTCTGTATAAACCATAAACAATGAATTGTTTTCACTCATTGCCATTGTCTGTTTCTTTAATTTCCAAAAATCCATCTTTTCTGCCTCTATAAAACAAGGATCCGCGAGTAGATAGTATCAGTTTTTCTTGCTGTCTCTTACTTATTCTTCTTATATGAATCTTATAAACTAATGGAATATATTAACTTTTGCCCTAAATGTCTTTTTTCGAAAGTTTTATCATGGTTACGTCTTAATTAAAGTTCTTTCGGAACAGCAATAGTTGGAAATAGGGTTTTTATAACCGCAGATGTCAGAAGAATTACAATAAGGTATTTTCGCGACTTTTGCTGTGGGTGATTCTACGAATTCAGAATCCTTCGTTAAAACGTTTTGTACTTCCTGTCCAAAAGGCAATATGATGCAGAGCTGTTACTTAAAGAGAGACAACAAAAACTGCAATAGAGTTTTGGGAGACATTCGTGAATTTTGGTTTCCTTTCCGATTACGTTTGGTCAATAATGTGGCTGAACTCTAATTAATTTGTAGGAAATTACTGCATTCCCTGAGCATGTTTTTGGGGTGTAAGTATTTAGCACATTCATTTAGCAGTTTGGGAGATCCGTGATTTAAATCCTGGTGATAACAAAATTCATTTTTGACGTTTCTCACTCCGGAAAACGTTTAATAGTAGCCACAAAATACAGAACGTTTAAAAACAGGCGGAAACTAATTTCAAAAATTGTGTAAATTCCAATATGGATATTATTGGCAAGTTGTTTCAGTGGACGACAGCCCTATACTGTAACAAATTATACGTCACCTTGAAATTTAAGTTGCAGTTTACGGTGTGAATTCTAAAATCCGATTATTTAGTGCAATTTTGAGATGAGTTGTTCCTATGTAAAACAAATTTTTGTGACTGAACATTGCTTCGTAACGGATAATGATTTCTTCTATCTCTCACGGTTTGTTAGCGAGTGCAGCATTTTATTCCAGATTTCGTCCATTTTGTCCGAGCTCAGAAGTCCGAGCTTACAGTTCCTCGAAATCAGGTCACTAAGCGGAAAATCATTGTCTTGTTAAGTTTACAAACAAGAAGGTATCTTTAAACTTTTCAACTACTCTCTCGTAAGAATACGTTGCGAAGTTATGCTCAGTCATAGAGATTTGTTCTGTGGGAGAAAAACTCATCTTGATCTTCCACAAGAAAATATATTTTAAAACAAAGAGCATAAACTGCAAAAAAAATTTCAAGTGATATTTTTTAAGTGACACATTAACCTTTTAACCTTTTAATGTGTAAACCCACTGAGACTATTTACCATTAATATCAATTTTGGAATTTCCACAATTTTTGGAAATTTAATCTGCATGACTCTTGGATCAGCTAGTAGTATCTGCAAACTATTTAGAAAGTTTTGTATCTCTAAAGGTAAGGAAACTTCGCTCGTTTCCCACTAGTAAAATATCATCGGAAATGGGAGAGATTAACACGGTGAAAGATTAAATATCAATATAACTGCTTTGAAAGACATACAAAGAGGAAACGTTACATTCGCGTATTTTTTTTTAAGTTATGCCTTAATGGCACAAAAACAGATTTTGCAACGTTAGGTCTCGTTTCTTTAAAACCCGAAATACTGAAAATTCTAAATTAACCCTCTGACTGCTCAATTTGTGGATCGCAATCGCTTCCAGAATTGCGTTTTTTTTCTTTTTTCATATTTTAAATCTATATACTATATAAGAGAATTGGAAAATGCACTTTTTCTTTCTAGAAAATATTTTTTATATAGATTTTCATCATGAGAAACTAATTTGCCAGAAAAACCAATTTCAGATGTTATCACAAAAAAAAAAAAAAAATTTTTTTAAAATAAATTTCAATCGAATTACAGTTAATTTCTATTTATTGCATAATATAAAAAAGTAAACTGTATAAAATTTAAGAAAATATAAAGCGCTGAAGGGAAAATACCTTAAAAATGCAGTTTAATACGATAGAGTTCAAACTTCAGAGTCTTTGCACCAGATTCAATAAATCTAATTAATAAGCAATCTAATTATTAATCTAATCAATAATTTAATAATTTAATTAAAAAATCAAGATAATCGCTGAACGTTTTCTAGCAGCCATTTCTGTAAGAAAAAAGCGGCAAAAAGTGAAGTTTGAGCGCTAATATCACGTGCCTTCAAATGCCACAATTTAGTGGACAACTTACGATATCTGTTGGCCAAAACGCAAACTAAACACCTAATACTGTATATAATTTATTTCAATGGTTAAAAGGGGAAAAAATAAATTTTCGTAGAGAAATGAAAGGCTTCTTTTTGCATCAAATGTTGGAAATTCCGGTTTTTTTTACTAGCGAAACACATTAAAGTAAAAATATTGATGCTAACTGCACACTGTTGAAAAATAAATAAATCTATATAATTCTCCTTCATATATGAACAGTAATGCGTTGCTTTTTATAATACCAAGAAATGTAGTGCTTAAGATCATGGCATTTAGCCCTCTTTACTGTAAATTGAGGGAAAAAAAGTTTCTTCAGTTATAAGTAACAGCTTCCGAAATATATGAAAAAAATCCATAATTCTTTTCTGAGAAAGATTTTCAAGGGTCCGTTGATGCAAGTTTCGGGGATCGATAGTTGAAAGTAAAACTCAGCTACTTTTTGCTTGATAGTGAGTCCGAGACTTGATGTACATATGCTTCCACGAAGAGTCTCTAGTTTTTAACTCACGATAAGCCAAAAATCAAGTGCAGAAAACTTCATAAACTAACTTTTTCTGTTTCATTATTGTACATCAAAATAATATTTATGTACCACTGGCTGTTACATCACATATAAAGAATATCTTCAGGTCCCGTTCGCTTCTGCAATACTGGAAACTTCTATTTTATAAAAGCTGGAAAAATCAAAAATATGAAATATATAAATGTAGTGAAATTTAAAGGCAATCAGCCAATGAATGTCTAATAAAAACAAGAACTGAAAATGTTTATTTAAGTTTTGATCGAAAAATATCTTTTTTTATTTCCCTTCCGAAACTAATGATTATTATATTTCCGTTTTAACTTAATTTCCATCTTTTGCCCATACAATAAAACATTATGTCACGATTCAATAAACTGCATTGTTTAGAGTCAAGAGTATTTTTATTTTTTAAATTGCTGGTAGTCGTTGGTTTATACGTAATCTCTCGGTATTTTTAAGAATAGAAGTTCATTTAATCTCAGTACCACTACATTGACTTTCAAAATTATTTTTATGGACATAAAAACAATTATATTTAGTGAAGTAAAGAATCTGAATTTTTTTTTCCATGAGCAAGCGTATGGCGAACCTAATTGCCATAAGAATTATCTTGCCATATATTTCTTTTTTTGGCACAGGTTTTTTTTTTAAATTTTGCATACTAATATTTCTCTCATTTCTTCCACTTTGGTCTATCTGCTGAGCACTTGGGATGCGATGTTTTCATATTTATATAACATGGCTTGCTTTATTTTTTAACTCTTTTACTCAGGTTTTTACGCCATGATTTTGATTTAGCCTTGAAGTAAAACAAAAAGAGTTCGAATCTAGAGATAACTTAAAAGATCTTCGGTAGCACGATTTGTTAAAAGAAGAGCTTTCAAAAAAGGAAAAGAAAGCCAGAAATGGTATGCAGTGGCATACCATTTCTGGCTTTTATCCTAATGTAAATGTTCACTTCTCTAAATATTCTTTGCCTAAGACACAATATAAAAGTTTTAAATGACATGCATTTATTTTCATTGTTATTATAATTAATACAATAGAATTAATAACATCAATTATATTATTAACTAGCTCTGCGTTTGTTTCAATGCAAATGTTCGATTCCTGAACAGTCTTTGCCTAAGGACGTCATATGAAAGTTCTATGACCCACTTGCATGAAATGTATTTATTTCATCATTATTATAAGTAATATAACACAAATAATGTAATACAAGTTAATAATATATATTATATTGCTAATTAATTTAGAGGTATTACTAGATTCATCATTTATACGAACTTGAATATATTTTCTAGGTTCTTCAGGAGTTTTCATGCTAGGTGAGTGTGCTTCTGTGCTTTGATCAGGATTACTTGGAGATTCAACTTTGTTCTTATGTAAGCTTTGTAACTCTCGAACTAACTGATCATCTTCCATTCCTTTTAGTTGCGATTCATCCTCATCTAGATTATTAGAAGGATAATCATTTCCTAGGACCGTTTGTTTCAATGCTGGTGATGCTACTGGGTATTCAAATGCCAACTTCTGGACTTTCACTTCAGATGCATTTATGGCTGGGGCTGGCGCATTTAGGGCTGGGGCTGGTGCATTTATGGCTGGGGCTGGTGCATTTATGGCTGGGACTTTCACTTCAGATGCATTTATGGCTGGGATAGCGAATTCTGGGCGTAGCATTGCCATTTGCCTCCAATTCTGCATAGAACAAACAATTGTTATTCGAACATAATATTTACTTAGAAAATTATGTAGCTTAATAATATTGCTGTAGGCCCACCAGCGGCAGAGCGGTAAAATGCCACTGAACACCGATAGTTCGGTTAGGGGTTCCAGTCTCGGCGAACGGGCTGATTGCATGCAGGTATAAATAGAAGGGCTAGGTCATTCCTAAGTTCGACTCCTCGCCGACGCGAGCCTCATGGAGGGGGTTAACTGGAAGTAATCTGACGTGTCTGTGTTGCACCTGCTCTGATTTCGCACGTTTAAAACTGTAGTTTCATTCAGTTGCGAGACGATTTTCTGGAGGTCGCATATCCCAAATTAATTTTAATCATACATATTTGTTTTCTAATAATGCAAATATTTAATAATTTGTGTGTATATATATATATATAGTTTTAGTCAGTTTTCCTTTTAAATTCTATATTTAAAGTATCCTTTATGTAATATGGCTTTTTGTGCTGTACCAACGTGCCGTAACACTTATAGAAATACGAAAGGAAGAAATATTGTATCTCATGCTTTCCCAAAGGACAATTTGCGTTTGTCGAAAGAATGGATACATGAATGTCGAAGACAGTATTCTATTAATGTGAAAAACGCAAGAATTTGCGGCGAACATTTTCTGTGCAGTGATTATGAAGATGACATGAGAAATCACTTGCTTGAAACAGTTGAAATGCAATATTGTGCTGAAAGTAAATTTATCGTGTGCAGTAAACGAAACAACACCAAGAAATCGGAGACATTTGAAAAGAAAACTAATGCAGAGTGCTTTTGAAAGACTACACGAATTAAGCCCAAAGAAAATTTATTTTGAGGCCGAGAACGAAATTGAAGCTGACAATAATAAATCAAATGTGAATGATTTTGAAATAAAACTCACAAGTGACAATGACCTAAGTGTAAAGATAAACAAGAATGTATTGATAATTTGAAGAACAAAATAATATCCTTAGAATATTGTGGTAAAATATTGAAAAATAGAGAAAAGGAAAATTTTAAAATGTTTACTCAGCGACAAAGAAGGTGGACGACATCTAGAAAGAAATTTGTATCGGAAATTCAGAAATTAAAATTCCAAACAACGAAATTTAGGAAAAAACAGAACAGATCGGAGAATTTGGAAAAACGTCTAAAGCATATTTTTACAAAACGCAGATTAATGCATTCCTAGAAAAGAAGGAAAAAATCAGGTGGACTAGTGAAGATATTTCACGTTGCATTGTCATAAGAGCTCTGTAGAATACGATTCTTAAATAGAAAAGCATATGTTTTTTCTAAAGAAAAGCAACCCAAAAGGCAAAAAAGTAGATTGCTTCGTATGTGGTAGCCAATAAATAATATTTCAACAAATTGTAGTTGCATTGTGACTGTACAAGTAAGCATATATAATATGTTTTGATTTGAAATATTTCTAGATGACATTTTAGAAGTTAATAGCGTAAAGCATATTTCAAATGAGAACTAATTTTGTTAAGTTATTGTTAAAGTTATTTTTATTGTATGTGTTATTATTGATTCGATTTTGTGCTAGATTAGCATTCTAGATAAAATATAATAGTATAACATTTAAGTAACTGGCATAAGAAAACCTGCCTTCTTAACCCCCACTTTTGAAAAATTAAATAATTTTTTTAGGTACTGTGAGTAAAGTTGTTTTGTCTAAATTAAGATAACAATCTTAATGCATTTATTTAAATGTAATATTGATGTAAGGCTAAGTTACAAAATTATTTTAAAATATATGTTATTATATTGAATCGAGAGAAAAATATGCCAATGTAAAATTTACAATTAGGCTGAAATTCAAACTTAGATTAGCAGAAATTTTGAAAACTATGCCAATTTAAGGTTGTTTTTTTTTGATTAATTTTAAATAGCTGTTATTATAGTTATCTGAGAAGCAGTAGTACAGTTCTCTTAGTTAACATGCAGATAAAGAAATGATTAGAAATAAACAGGCATTTAAAAAAAAAAAAAAAAAAAAGAATCCCTGAAAATTAAAAAAAAAGGAACTTTATGCTAAGAGTAGCGCATTTTATCTGTTATTTTAAAATTGAGTAAGTACTATTTCATTTTTTAATGTTCAGTGTAAAATGCATACTGCAGTAACATTGTCTCTTCTAAATTACAGCTATCTTTCACACACAGCTCATTTTAAACGCTGGTTCTTCAGATTTAAAACGCTAATTTCTATGTTGTCAGTTGCATTTCCGCGCTCAGTGTCATCATGGCTACGTCATCACTCCCCACTGCCTGTTTCAGGGGGAAAAGCTCTATGAGCTAGCCCTTCTCTTTTAAGTCCTGGACTGCATGGATCTTTACGTGGTTTTCCCCATGCGTAACGTGAATACGAGCCAGTTTCCATTAAATAGTCCTCCACGAGCATCCCTCTGTTTCCGTGTAGTGTAAAAATGGCGGAGCACGAAATAAATAAAAAATAGTAATATTTATGTATCTTAAAATACTGTAATGATATTTTTCTCATTTACTAAACAAATTCGGCTTAAAAACTTAATGCTTTTTCTGCTACGTAAGATCAGTCACCTCATGTTCATATTTTCGACCTTATTCTAGTCGCTTAAGCAGAAAACGGACGCAAACCAAACAATCATTAAGTATGGAGTATGCATCTCACCTAGATTTAGAGTTTTAGACGAATATTGTTTAACCTGTCGATTACTTAGCAGTTCTGTTTTAGTACGTATAGCATGCTGCTGTACATGATTAAATGAAAATAATCTCTACTGAGGAATTAATTCGTAATTAATTTAATTATTATCATTACAAAATAGATTAATTAACTGATGCTAAATAATGCACGAAAGAGTTGTCCGCCTAGAGCTGCTTGTTTAAATTAATACGATAAAGAACTCAAGGACTGTCTACTTGAGGGAAGGGATGCCTTCGTAGAGGACTTGTAAACTGTGCCGGCAATTACATTATATACGAGAAAGACTAAGAAAATACTCATATAGCCAGAAAATTCATCAGTATTCGAATTCTGAGTCGAATTGTCAGTGTTCTGTGGTCTTATTCACTCAGCCACTGATGGTGTTTCTACTTAGAACGTTTGAAATATATGCTCAGGTTTTAAGATCATGCTTTATATTTCTGCTACATATGATATAAAACACCTAGTTTACCAGCAGCCAAGTTAATGAAAATCAGTGGTAGTTTAAAGATGCAATCTGGCTATGTATGTTTCTTCATCTATTTTGTCATGTGTAACTTAACTATAAATCATTTTCTCTTGGAAAATGGTCATAAATTTTTTATTCCAAATCTGTTTTTCCGTAACTGAGAACTTCCTCCCTTGTTAAAGACGTCCATGCAGACCGATCATTTAGCGTTGGTTCAGATGTCGCAAATAGTAAAACACTACTTGTATGAGATCTAATCCCAAAATTACATCATGAAGTTATATATTAACCTTCTCGTTCTCTTTACGGCTGTAGGGTATAAACATGACCATAGCACCCGCTACTTTCCAGTCTTGAAGATTTCTTTGCTCGTGATGAAGAAGGACATGTACCTGTCCGCCCTCGAAATTGATTGAGTTCTTAACTAAATTTAGGCCCACAAGGTTTCTGCTTTGCTGATTTTATGATGCATTGAAATTCGTAAATCTTTCCAGATCTTATTTAAATAAGAGTATAACTTGAGCTTTATTAAAAAATTGCCCTTTGCATCTAGGTCGTTTTACTGGGAATCTAGTCAGCTAGATCAAAAGCTTCATCCCTTTGATCACTGATGAGCTGATCATAATGCTAAAATGATATCACTGCAACTAGCGCGTCAACGACAGTAGAGACAAAAGAAAAAAAAATATCGATTTTATGCAAAACAGTAGTGAAGTGCATACGCTTGGGAGGGCAAATGCAACTCAGCTTTCTCCTCCCAGAACCCTCCAGGACCTGAAAACAGCGTTGCTGCAGGAGATGGACCAACTGCCACAGGGACTCATAAACTGCCTCATTTCCAGTATGAAATCACGCTGTAAGATCTGTATGACTGTTAGAAGGACACCGTACCTCTATTGCCTCCTTTTGTTCGTTCTTGCAACCTTTGCCACAGACCTTCCTGCGCCGATAAACCTTGCGCAGAGTCTTGCTTGTCTACCATGACTGCTGTTCGGTATATATTTTGTACTACATTAGCCTACGACCATATCAGATTTCATTTAAATCTGTCAAACAGTTCTGGAGATAATCGACTACATGTGAAAATTAATTTTGAATATCAGTGTAAAAGAGCATATGAGCACATTGTTCGCTGTAATTCAATAATATGCATGCATATAATTCCTAAAAAAATTATTAAGAAATTATATGTTTGACAAATCAAAATGCACGCTTTTACTTCCTTTTACTAGTTATGTTTGTGGACTTTGTTAATTATAATGGGATACTGCATTTATGTTCATTGTAACATAGGAAGGAAAATGCTGTCCTCTGTTCCTTAATTTACAGCAAAAAATTCTTAAACACCCTTTTTAAACATTATAGATGCCGTTCAGACGGGAAAGTGGTTAGTGACTCTGACTGCCGTACTGAAGGGCCAGGTTCGAATCCCGGAGAAGGCGTGTATGTACTAAATTGTCCCTCCCTTCATAGGAAGTAACAAGGGCCACCTATGAAGTGCCTCTAATAAAATGACCAGCACTTCTGGCCTTAGCAGCAGCCTAGTCCTTTTTTAATTATTATTATTTCCAATGATGGGCACTAGTCGTTATTGGCATTGGTCACTTAATAAAGTGGAGGTAACTAATAGGGTAATAATAACTAAAATAATAATGGAGGCAACTAATAGGTGGATCACCGTTGCCTCCTGTGAACAAACAGATAATTTACGTCCATACTTTCTACGGGATTCAAACCCGGGCTCTTCGGTATGGCAGTAAGAGTCACTAACCATTTTCCAGTGTGGGCGGCCTAGTCTTAGCGGTGACTAAAGCCTAAATTAGTTAGTGCTTGTCACTAAAAACTATTGGTTTAAAGCTTAATATACTGTTTTCAATTTTCGGCTTGCAGCTGCTGTCATATTTTTTTGCGATTAGATTTATGTTGCATTATCTTTGCTTCAAAGCTTGTAACATGAATATTTGTTAAATATGAATACTAGGAATAAATAGGTATTGATAGTTTACTCACCTTACCAAAATGGCTATTAATAAAATCATTATAATCATTATACGTTTCTGCATTGTACAGGTATTCGGTTTGTTCTAGCGCTCTCTCCAGAGATTTCAGTCGATAGAGGAATGTTTGAAGCCATATTCGTTCCTTAAAAATCTTGACTCTGTTTAACATAGTTTCTGCTTCCTGGAGGAGATCTGAAGTTTTGCGTTTGAACAAAGCGGGATATCCTTGGTTTAGTAGGTAGCCACTAGTGAGTGGGGCCTGCCTTTTCCTAGAGGGGTCCTCAGGTTGTCTATTGTCCATGGCCTAGAGTTCAGAGAGAAAAAAGAAAAGAAAGTGATGAAATGAGAAATGCATCAAATAAATACATTAATCTGCTAGTTTCTTCAAGCTATCTCAAAAGATTTGTTTTTTATTACCCATATGGAGAAACTATGTGCACTATGGGATGCAGATGTTTTGATTCTAAAAATCGTATTATAATACAAGACTATAATAAAGTTTAAGAAATGAATATCACAGTTTTTTAATATTTCTTCGAAGAACTGTGGCTGATAGCGTTACTACTACTTCACCGATAAAACTGATTTTTGGAGATATATATCTGTACTGCTTGTGTATATACAAATTCAGAACTTGCAAATGGGGTGTCGATAATGAAGAAAAAAGCTTATTTGTAAACTTATCTAAAAGTTTAATTATTTATAAACTCATACAGTTATGTTACTCACTGCTTGAAAATTAATTTGCATTTGAGTATAGATGTCTTTAAAAGTCAGGTGGTACTGAAGGAAGAATTTAAGAAATTAGGGTTGGATGAAACTGTGATGGAATAACCCTTTGCACTTGTAACCCTACATTAAATTTTTACTTTTAGTAAATTTTTATCTAAAATTTAAATTTAGATTAGCTCACTCTATGGCAACCTTTAAGTAGTTTAAATTCTATGGTTTTGTGTTATTTACTAAAATAAAGAAAATTTCTTCAAATGGAATTTATTGTCGACAAGATTATATTGAGCAGCTCATTTATGTGTTACGTCTACGTGTTAGTGGAACTTCTTCCAATCAAAAGTATTGTTGATGAAATTATTATGCAACACATTATAATATCTACGCGTTAAATATAATGGAACTTGGGTTATCCAACAGTCTGGGGACTTTTGTCGTGACGGTTAAGACAACAGACAAATAACAGAAGCTCCTTTCACAATCTCCGCTACCAATCCAGATTGGTTGTGTAATTTAATTGCATAATAGCTACTCAGTTCGCTATTATTTAGAAATTTATTGTTTATTATTTAGAAATTTAATATTTATTAATCTTATATTTTTAATATTTATTAATTTATTTTATTAAGCTCAAAATAGTTCCTAGGTAAAGAACGATAAATATCAAATATCTTTTTATTGTTCTAGAGCGCTTTAATTTTTCATTTAATTTATTATTTTCCTAGACTGCTTTTAATTTCAGCTCAGTTTAAAATAAAACGTAATACTGCGTTTTTTGTCCCGCGCAATAACTGAAAAGTATGTACAAAATCTGGAGTACAAACAAAGCTAATTCGTTATTGTTTCAGGTGCAAGTAAGACTACGTAGATAAAACAGAAAGTGGTGTCTGAATGTTATTATTAAACACATGAATGTAGGTGTAGGCGGTTAACTGTCATTCCGACTGTAAATTGCATTTTTCTTGATTAACCGTAAGAAAGGTGAAAATAAATTTTGTATACAGTACTGTACTGCGCCTATGCCATTAAACGCAGCCATTTTATTGCTTTAATACATCTTGCAATTTTTTGAAGTTAATCTACCCATCGGATTATTTTAGTCACTAGTGGATAATAGAAACTGACGGTTAAAATTTTCTGTTGCAACTGTTCCAGTGATGTTAGTTATAAGTAGGAATAGGAACTTGAGAACTGGAACGTCTTAATATTTTTTTTTTTTTTTTTTTGTATTTTCTCTATTCTTAATTTTATTTCTTTATTACTACTTTATTATTTAATCTTTCTTGTTTTATTACCTTATCATATTTTCCCCCTCTCCCCCAAATGCTGAATGTCGAAATACGCTAAATGCACATAGCAACATAAAAATCACTGTAAATAATGTAAGAGTTCAACGAAGCACGAACTCTTGTACATCGTACATAACTGTGTGTAGTCTGCAGTGCTTGAAGTCGTATCACTGTGAATAATACAGGGTGTTCCGAAACTCATGGGCAAAAATTTAAGAAGTGATAAAGATGCGTATTAGAAATGCTTTCATGGGGAAAGGTGTATTCATCCGTGAGTAACACATACGCAGTGAAAATCAGGCTGCGCTGCTAGCTGTTGCAAAACCAACGTGCAAACTCGACACGTGGCGCATAATCTGCAGGTATCCAGGCTTGCACTTTGTGTACATGGTAGAGGTGTAATGCTTCGTCCCGTAATACTCGCCAAACAATAGAGTGGGACACATTTACGGCACGGGAAACTCAGGCGTGCTAATATCCGCACGATCTTCCACTCTTTCAGAATGTCTTCTAGAACTTGCGTCCGCACACTCCTGCCACGCCCTTATATCATGCATGACGGTGACAAAGGATCCCGTTTCGCACAGGCACCGATGCACAATCGCTCGAACATTTTTCGGTTTGCCACGTGTCTTCTCGAGAAACGCCGTCTGTACAGTTTTTCGGCTTCCAGAGCATTCCCATTCGCAAGACCGTACATAAAATATATTTCTGCCTTTTCCTGATTAATGTACGTCCACATCTTTTCTGAAATCTACGCTAGAAATGACGATGTGTAAGAAAACTCGCGTTTTATGCTTTTCATTACAGCGCAGTCTAGCGGATCACCACTTGGCACTCCGCCCATGCATTGTATGGTGAACATTGCTAGTTTGGATGTTTTCTACCAGCCTTTAAATTTTTTGCTCATGAATTTCGAAACAACACCCTGTATAAGAGCATAACGAAGCACGAACTTGTGTACCATGTAATATTTTATGTAACATAAAAGTGCGTAACCTGTAATGCTTGAAGTTGTTTCAATAAATATGTGTCCGCTAATTGTTTTCTTTTCGTTGGAATGACATTAACCCGTTAGGTACCCCAGCTTAGGTCGGATGTCAACTCGACGACGAGAATTAACGAGAAGTACGGTGAAAGCGAGCCACACAGACATTCATATACTTTTTTAGATTCATATTCGTAACCTTAAAAAAGATGCAAAAATGATAGTAGTTAAGCTAAGCTACTTATTATTTAATGACAAAAATGTTCCGCCAATCCCCAAAAGGAAATTGCGTTTTCGTTTATTTGACAGTGTAGAATAAAAAAGGAATGCTTTATTTAGTAAGGTTTATTAAGTTTAAAAGTAAAGCAAAAAACGAATTTTTTTGCACAAACTTTTAAAAAACTGTATAAAGTCCAAAATTTGGCATAACTGTAATTAATATGATATCGTTTCCAGATTTTATTTATTATATATGGTTCACTTGCAATGTGTTTAAAATATCTCATAAATGAGAATAAAATGAACACATTCATAAAAATAATTTTAAAATGGCTTAAGTAATAAACTATATCCTTCCCTAACTTAAACATGCTTCTTCATACTGAAAAGATAAATCAGCAGACACTTCAGAAGAAACAATGACCGTATGAGGGGTTAGAACCCCAATGAGAATTAACTCCACCTTAAACAGTTTTCAAAAAAAGGTGCATTAATTAAAAATGGAACAAAACTAATGAGAAAGACAAATCCTGTTTTTTTTATGAACCATATACATGACAACATTTGTAAGGTATTTTCTCCCTTCTTACTGCGTGCCTGTGTGGTGTAATCGTGAGAAAGCACGTCCACCTAGCAGTCGGGAAATCTGGAGCTCGAATCCCGGTAAGAGCATTGCACATTTTCAGGTCTTCCGTTCCGAAATGAAACGCCCAATGGTCTCTAAAAGTACAACTTTACAAACATTAGGTATTTAGGCGCGAAAATACTTTACGCTGAATTTAAAGCCTATTAAATCCGATTAGAAAAATACCTATAGAATAAGAATTGAGTAGAAAAATACAATATTAGCACGAAAATAGATAATCGCTTATTTTACGTACTGAAAATATTGATCAAATACAACAAAAATAGCCAAACGCTTAAACCAATCTCTTTTAATCATTTTATTCACCAGATACCCGAGTGTATTTTATAAGAGAAGAAATGAACAAATGCCTAGTTTTTAAGTACGAATGGTACAAAGAAGATCATATTTAAGAGTGTCAAACACATGCAACTTTCCTCTAACGACTGTCAAATTACCTTAGAGTCCGTGGGACTTCGTTCCTACGTCCGTGGGACTTCGTTCGTATCCTACGTCCGTGGGATTTCGTTCTCGCGGGCGCAACCCCGCTGTCCCGCCCGGTTTTTACGAAGCATTGGGCAGTACATTAACGTTGCAAAAGAATTACGTTGTCACCTTGACGCCGGGCACCAATCCATTGGCATTTCAGTTTTGTTAAAATTTAAAGGGAAAAATATTTAAAGAAATCTGTTATGTGGACTATAACTATTCTTAAATTTCATACTGTGTTTACAGTAGGCATCCAACTAATTTTCAGACCTTATAACTGACATTCGTCTGTAGCTAGTTTTCTAACTAACTGACTGTTTTTACTTATAACCAGATTTGGGTTATGAACGAATAGAGTTTACACGTCATCTGTGAGCAAAATCAGTAAATTTTGGAATCACCTGGTTTGAGCTCTAAACGTTTGTAACTTCATACTTTACCTGTGTCTCACAAAAAGTGGAGTTACACCATTTGCGTTCTGAATTCTCCAGACATTTCTCAACCCTTACTCTACATCATTTACACAGACACACCGGACGAAGACACAGACCTCCGTCCCAGGTCCTCATTATGTGGGACCCATTCAGAGTTTGGAGTATCCTACGTCCGTGGGACTTCGTTCTCACGGGCGCAACCCCGCTGTCCCCGCCCGGTTTTTACGAAGCATTGGGCAGTACATTAACGTTGCAAAAGAATTACGTTGTCACCTTGACGCCGGGCACCACTCCATTGGCAAACACATCATTTAAAACAGTCGGATGACAAGGGGTAACCTCCATATTTTTTTTGGAAAGGGATTAATGGATGGGAATGCATGATTGGACTAGCCGCCATCAGCCAGTACTAAAAATAAAGTTACTAGAATTTGTCAACGAGGACAGGTACGCTGAAAGAAGAGACTTCGGCAGCATACTCCTGATAAACTAATGAAGAGTTTGAACATTTACTTACTTTGCTCTGAGCAT